ATATGGAGGTGGGGGGGTTCAGGGGGGCATGCCCCCCTGAATTTTATCCTAATTTGATGTTTTGCAGTTAGGTTGCATCCCTGCTCTTTGTGTAGCCTATTTCAAATAGTATTTGGTCATCAAGACTTCTGGATTTCTTCTCTGGATGTAAACAAATGGATTGTGGACTTTAACGAACGGAACTACAAAATCACCGAATCTAGATCTAAATCTAGATCAGATCTATTCTATCCTGCCACCTTATTCTTCGGATACTCCTCATTATATTGTTGATGAAAGTCTGGACTTTATTCAGAAGTACTTTACTGTACTGTTTGTGTTATCCTCCAAGTTTTGCCGCCTCAGACATTAGTCATTATAAAGATAGATCTGATCTAGATCTAGTTCTAAGATAAAAAGTAAAAATTTTCCTACATGCAGCTAGTCTTCTAAGTATTGGACCATCCATGAATCCCTGTTTCTTGACTTACTCTTCACTGAAGACTTCAGACTGACTTTTATTCTCATGTTTCATGTCGTAGTCATATAAATAATAATGTCTAGATAGTATAGGTTCTAATCTTGACCCGGGCATGAAAGTTGAGACGCTTGCATGTGGTGTATGGGATAGGTCATGTGACACTTTTCCCAGTGCTATAAACTGGAACTATGAATTGTGAACTGATGCGGTTGATATATAATTGTTAGGCTGTTTGCATTGCATGCAAAAATTGTGTTTACTTGACTCGCAAATGGGGAAGTTCATTGTATTCTAATTCTCAGTTTCTCTGTATTGTACATGACACACACACACTATAGCACACCCCCCAGGGCAGTGCCACTATCTGTAGTGTCTTTAGGCCATTCTCAAAGGGGGGACATTTCTTTTTTCAAGCACTGTAGAATTATAAATGGGCTGATTCATGTCACGCTCATAACTGTGCCTGATCTACAACAGGGAACTATTGTCATTTTTCTACTTCTTTTGTATGTTTGTCACTCTCTTGTGACCCACTATTTCCGGGGTGCCTTGATAGTCAAAGCAGACCTTGTGCTGTTGAAGCTGAGGTGAGCAGAATAAGTTCGATTCCCTGTAAAGACTTCTCTGCTGACACCCACCCCTTGGCGCTCATATGACCTTATGCAGTTGCGAGCGCCGTAAAACCCTCTACTGTGAAAAAAAAACCAAAAACACTATAGCACAACATTCCACTCAGCCCAGGTTCATTGGGTTGAGCACGCCATCTGAATGATCTAAGTCATGTAAGTCATAATTTTTCTTCTTGTCCAGGTAATTGAGTTACTTCAATTTCAAGGAGGACTTTGCAATGTCAGATAGCGATGAGGAGCCACAGCTATCAGCTCATGCTCTAGCTGCCCTGCAAGAGTTCTATAAGGAGCAGAAAGAAGACGCAGAGAAACTAGAGGAAGCGTTGACTTCAGGGGATAACAATATTCAACTGAAGGAAGACTGGGTGAGTGTGCCTGCAGCTTTGAGGATATCATGCTGTCTTCTTTCCTGTGGTTTTAGCTGGATAGAATGTGTTTAGTTCTCGAGACAACTTGCAGCTTGCTTGACTGAAACCAAGAAACAGATCGGAAATTATAAAGATGTGAGACCCTAATCCAGAGCTGCTATACTTTACTTTTTCCTTTGTTCTAGAGGTTCACAAGGAAAGGATGTATTGCTATAGATGTTTCCTTAAGCCGCACTTTTGACCTTTTTCAATTATGTCTTACCCCGTGCTGTTTGACTTCATTAGGCAAAAGACTTTCAGTTTACCCAGCTGTGTTACTCAGACCAGCATGTTCCCTCAACGCAATTCTGACTTATAATGTGATAAGCGTTTTATCAATCCATAACTCCTTCCTTATGTTTATCACTACTTGTGCAGCAGTGAGTCGCAGGTATGAAATTGGTCTCCCTTTTAAGTGTTCATTCTAAATTAAGGTTTCCATGGAGTTACACTTTCTATGTTGCCGGAAAAGATGAATGGCTCGGAAAAAAATTCTTGGTTTACTTTCAGCGTGGTTCAACCAGTATCGATGGCTTCACAAATGCAAGCCAGACAGTGAAAATGTGTACATTTAGTATTTCCATGACGGTAATGGCTTTAATAAAAATGTAATTCTGGCGTGGTCTAAAATTTTTATCCTTGTTAAGGTCAACATTAGCCCAAATAATGACTTAAGTTTTGTTTTGTCCTCAACAGCAACTGAGTCAGTTCTGGTACGATGACAGAACGGCAGAGATGTTAGCTAAAGAAGCCTTGTCGGCTGTGGGAGACACAGGGAGGTAGTTCATGATCACAGATTCCACCTGTTATAATTATTTTTTGGTGGTGTTTATGTATGTTTGTTTTTGTCACAATTCATTTATCTGTGTGGGTACTGAATACCTCTATGTATTTTTGTCTTTCAAATGATGGAGATGAAAATAAATTTGTGATGTCTGCATTGAAATTGATCCCTTTCAAAGTGACGTTTGTGTGTTATTTTCAGCAGTATCAAGTGATTTAAAGCTTTAACAGAGAGAGCAAGTTTCCAGCTCTTTTGATTGTGACATGTTTTAATGTTTTTGTTGATAATTTTTCTGGAACTAAAAAATAATTTTATATCAATTTAATTGCTTTTTGTTCTATTAGAGTAGATATATTTTCTTTAAAATCTAAAATGCAGAATATTTAAGACAGCCTCTTTTATATAGATATGATGATGGCTAAAAGTGCAAATGGCCATGTGTCTGTTAGCCTGAGATACTGAGATATACATTAACCCTTACCAAGCCCCCTCTATTAAAACTAAGACAACTGTCACCACTTTTATCATGTAAATGTGAAAAAGAGTCTGAGCCGTATCTGTATACTTCCTGAGTATCACTCATTTTTTTTCAGAAAACCTTTTTAAAAGGAAAAAAATGTTACCTTTTTTTTTGTTTCATCCGAAAAACATGCAGTTGAATTGAAAGAATTCCTGCAGCAGGCATAGTCCCTGTAGATCAAGGAACATTCCTCTCAAAATTCGATGTATCTGTTGGTATTCTGCACTATTCACATTTTTGGTGTGTCCTAGTCAGGACGACTGTAGTTGTCGTTTTCAAGGGGAGTTAAGCTGATGGATTGTGAATTTGAATCCTGCATTGTAATTATTCATTGCAAAATTTGCCTTGACGACAGAAATAAAATTGAATCCTTTACTTTCCATAATCACTGTTGTTATCTTTGTTCTTAACTATTGAGAACTTTTCAATTTTCAAATTTTCAACTCACACTGATTTAATTAAATCTGACCCCAAAACTAATAGTTTTAAAAAAAAATCTTCCTCCTCAGAATTGCTTGTCTCAGCTCCCCAACTGCCTACAAAAAATTGCAAGAGCTCAAGCCAGAAACCGTGTTGGTGAAGTGCTTGGAATTTGACCCTCGCTTCCAGGTGTTTGGAGAAGACTTTGTCATGTACGACTACAAGGAACCTCTTAAGCTCGACCAAACTCTGAAGGGAGCTTTTGATTTAGTGATTGCAGACCCTCCCTTCCTGTCAGAGGAATGCCTCACGAAGACTGCGGTTACCGTCAAGTTCTTGACTGCTGGAAAAATTATTCTTTGTACAGGTGGGCATGTGTTTCTTTTTCAACTGTGTTAGGGTTGTTTCATTGGGGGGGGTTGTTTTTTTTATATTTTTCATAGCAGGGAGGGGAGAATGTTATTGTTTAACTCTTTGTCTCCGGAAGAGTGTCTCCGCTGGAGGCTTTCTGATTATGCCTGAGCCCTCTTTTGGTATGAAACCTGAGAGTGACTTACACATCACTTAATTGGTCAATAAATCAAAACAAATGAAACCAATGTTGATTGTTCTTTCATCTAAATGAAAAAGCACCCACAACACCGCTGCATGGAACCTCTATCACTCAGTGAAGACCAAAGTTGTTTTCTGGGGGGGGGGGGGGGGGGGGGTTCTGACACCATTTTGGTGCTGATTTTCTTCTTTATTATTGTCAGGAGTTTTGTTAAGGACTGACGTTTGTGTACTCAATTAATGAATGCTTTTTATCCCTGGCTTATATTTGTAATACTTGCATGATAGTACATAACAAGATGGGCCACTTCTCTCTTTGAGCCAATTAAAAAAGTGTCCTCAAAATTTGGTGGCGCCCTCTTCACAAAAGCGCACTCTTTGCGAACAGAGTTACCCTACTTGAGTTTTTTAAAAATCAAAGTGAAACTAGCAAGTTTTGGGATAAATTTCGGAAGAACGCTTTTTTTTAATGGTTACGCTGACAAAAAACCTCTTCCGGAGGAAGGGGTGATGGTTTTCTTCGTTTAATTTGAATTTAGAATGAAAGGCGAGAGGTCATTAAAATATAAAAAAACTAAAACTCTGCACTGAACGTACCCGAACTGCTGATGAACAGCAGTCGAACTGCGCACGCAAGGAGGTGCTATTCCTATTCTTCTTCTGGAAAAACGAAAGAGAGCTTCAAAACAGACTGCAGCGCCATCTGAAGCAAAGAGCATACTTCCTGCGGACACTTTTTTGGCTGAGTGGCCCATCTTGTTATTCACTATCTTTGGTAATACTTGCATGAGAGCTGAGAGCTGTTGTGAATAAGGGACCAAAAACAACTTGAAAGCACATTGGCGTGTACAACCTGCTTGTACCGGGTGTGAGGAAGGAACATTAAATTATATCGAAGCAAAAAAATTACTGTCACTTTCATAATGGAGGGGGGACATTTTTTTTTACTTTTGAATACAGTAGAATTGATGTTGAGGTTTTGACAGGCAATGTCTAAGAAATTGAATTTATGTATGGACACAGGCACCTTGCAGTAATTGCATTCCCTCATAACAGTAAAAGTAAAGTAATACACACACACACACACACACACACACACACACACACACACACACACACACACTCTCCCCCCCCCCCCCCCCCCCCAATATCTTAATGTGTCTTAGGGATCACACCTTGCTATTTGCTACGTCCTTATATCTAGGCACTGTGGTGTTTTACCTACCGCCAACCGGGGCTACTTAGGCCACTCGGGGTAACTTAAGCCACTTACAATAAGTTACAAAGAACGGTCTGTACAAAGGAACAGATTTAAACGTGCAGCCACCATTGTGTTCAGCAGGCCAACAACAAGCCAGATTTATTCGAGTAGTACAACCAGTTGTAGATGTCTAATACAATGCCAGGTTGGCTAATTGATTATACCACAGGCACTGTAGGGATAGTTGTAAGATAGCACCAAATTAAAAGAACATAAAGCAAACATTAATTCTGGAGCTCTGATTGCATGTTATACATCATTCTGCCGATGTCAGGGATGCTAGTGGGATTTTGTAAAAATAACTGAAAATAGTACCCAACGTTTCATTTGCAAACATAAAAACAGGAAATAGACGGAACTAATATGAGTTAAACAGATAACAAATGTGTGCATGCCTAAAGAAAGATACCAAAAGTAGCCACAGACCATTTTGAGCTACAGACTGATTATGACAAAAAATTACTTTTTTGACCAAAATGTGTCTCCTTAAAAAAATGATAAGTTCCACCATTTTTTTACAATATGTTAAAAGAGTTTTCTTTGATTTGACTTCTAAATATTTTTGGGGGAATTATTTTGAGGATAGGGCATGTTTTAAAAAAGATAATGAAAACTGCTTTTAAAGGGTGTTAAAATCAATTCTTGAAGCATGTTTTCTCTTCCCCGTTATGTTTTACCATTGAATTCTAATCATGATATTGAAGTCAACTGAATACCAAATTGGAAATGAATTTTCCATGATACATTAGAAACAATTGAATCACCGTTTTTTAAAAGTTTGTATGTGTTCTAAACTTAAAAGCTAATTTTATCAAAATTAGATCTTTATACCCTACCTCGCAAAATGTGCAAATCTTAAAAACTACTTGAGATATCTAAAAAATTCAAAGACCCCTGTGTTCAGCATTGAATGTCCTATTAGGAGCAACTCTTAACTCAAAATGGTTAAAATCCGACTTTTGGTACCTTTCTTTACTTTAGGCACTCACACAAATGCTGAGAATAATAGCTATTCTTCTGACCTTTTTTGCTAGAAGGAAACGATGTAAATGTTTGAATTTTAAAAATAGTTTATTCTATTTTATTTTATCTAACATAAAGGGAAATATAGAAAAATGACATCCTTGTGATGTGCATGACTGAGAAAATTCCAGTGCATTCCTACCTACCAAGATAATTTTCCACCTTTTTCAACTCTCCTCCTGATAGCCAGAATGAAACCTGTCATGGTTATCCCCCAGCTTTTCTAAAGAGGTTTTATTACTCCAATACGCACCCGTTAGGGTAATTTTATTTTATTTTTTATTCCTTTGCATACTTTTCCAAACCTCATTTTGCACACTTTACACATCCTTCAACTACCGCACTTCAGAAGGTTTTTTTCTTGTCTTTTCTCTATTATTTCAGGAGCCATCATGAAGGATTTGGCCCACCGACTTCTCAATGTAACTAAGTGCAAGTTTGAGCCGTCTCATTCCAACGGTTTGCAGAACGAGTTTGCCTGTTTTTCCAATTATGACGCCCCAGTTTTGAACTCATAGCATTGATTTGTGTATGTGTGTGTGTGTTTGTAGTTGCTTGAAAGAGAACGTATGATGAAGTGTGTTTGGAACAAAGTATGACTTGAATAAAAAGTGCGTTTTTGTTTCTACTAACAACATTTGGAGTGTCAATTTATTTTTTTTACCTCTTGTTCTTAGACTTTGAGTTTTCTTTGGGAGTGAAAGAGTCTGGTGAGGAAACCTGTAAGTTATTCAATTTACCAAATGTAAGTTAAGATAAAGATAAGAAAAATATGCAAGATCTAATCAGCAGTTAAAGAAATGTTTGCTGAGATATCTATGTAAGAGATTGTTTTAGGCTAACCATTTCAACTTCCCTTTCAAAACAGCAGATTTTGCATTCACTTTTGTTCTTTAAGAAGTGGAAAATTGTGCAATTTCATGACATATCATACCACATAGCTTATATCAACAAATAATATGGCTTACAAGTATTTGATATGAAGTAGCTGGATGTGCATGTTGTGAGCTGCCTATTTCCAGTTGGTCATTGTAGCCTACTGCTGTGGTGATCTGGTCCGTTGCCTGGAGCGACTTACTACAAGCATCTGTGGTGTGGTAGCTGGGCTCTTCGTAGTTGCACTCAGCAGGTGTGAGTTTGATTCCCTAGTGAGGAAGTTTTTATGGAGTATCCATCTATGTGCTTGAATAGATTGTATTCGACTCAGCTCATGGGTGGTTGGCGAGTGCTCTGGTGTGGTTTGCAACTTCTTTCCTATCAAACATCTGTCCTCCTTTTAATCTCTCCTCCTCCTTTTTTGTATATGTTGCTCTCTTGCGACACATCTGGTCTTCGGCACTTGTACTTATGTTGTGTTGCAAGTGCCGTAAAACTCTTACCGAAACTAAAAACCACTCAGCTCGGGTTGGCCCTGACTGACAAAGTGGAAATAGCCTGCCTTCTAAATGGTCTGGATTGTGTCACGAAGGACGTAAAAAATCACATGTGTGTACCTTTCGGCGGCAAGCTGTTCACTTATTCTAAGCCCAGAAAGTGAAATATTTATGGAGAGAGAAAAAACTTTCGTTTTTTAACAATTTGCCGTTAAAATATGTATCTATTTTCCTTGCTTTTTTCAACATTTAGATCTAGAATTATTAGAATTTGGACAAAAATCTTTCGAGCCATTATACAACCTATTCCACAGGTTAAGAAACTGCAAGAAAAAATTTTTTTCAAAATTTTTGGCTTAGTGCACCTGAACAGCTGGCTAACAATGTTTATTCTACCCATACACGTAGATCTATTACAAACCCTTGAGTGAGGTTTTCTTCTTTTGGGAGACTACCAGTACTGCCATCCTTTTTAAAGATACAGTTATATCTATATATTATGTTTTTACAATTTCACTGGAGAGACAAAAATCTGAATGTTGTTATCAAGAAAACAAACTCTTTGCGAACATCACAAGTCAATATTTTAATTTTAAAGAATATAATTTTGATAATACCTTCTTAACTTTACAGCAGATGCTTTCTTGGTAACAACATTTAGTTTTTTGGCTCTCCTGTAAAATTGTTAAAAACTGCATGTTATAGGTACTATATTTTTTTTAATGACGGCAGAGTAGGCACATGTGGGCTTGAGTATGGTTTGACTGAACATATGTTTGCAAGAGAACACAGTAGTATTATTTGTTTGTTTGTTTGTTTGTTTAGTATAGGGTTTTACGGCGCTCGCAACTGCATAAGGTCATATGAGCGTGTGGGATACACCTAATACTTTTTCGTTGGTAGGAAATTTTGAATTTTGCCCGGGTGGCGGCCGAAGCCTACTCTTATCGATTTTAGACCACCAAGGGATCTTTAACGTGCGCAACTTGCACACGGGCCCTCCAAGATTTTTCGCCCTTGTCCGAGTCTTTCCTACCAGAAGATCAGGGGTGTGGCAGAAAGACAGCAGTTAGGAGGAGCCAAGGAGTAGCAGTAGAAAGGCTGCAGAAAGAGTCAGGAGCCCAGAGGTGGGGGCAAAGGAGGTGAGGGCAGAAAGTGGAAATGAAAGCAGACAACAGAACATTGTTAGAGATCAGGAAAGGATGTGAAAGGAGACAATTTTAGAGAAGAAAATTTTTTTTGGTCGCCACCCGGAATCGAACCCGGGACCTTTGAATGAGAGGCCAACACCTTAACCTCTAGGCCACGAGAGCCCCCGTATTATTTGTGATAATATTATGGCGATTAAGAGTTAAGAGCAACCTTTTCAGGTGGGCTCCAAGAGCGAACAAGCTTTTCTTATTCATTGTAAATGTTTTACACTCCCATCAACGCAATTTAGGTCATCTAGGAATATGTATATATATGCTTCAGCTTCAACTGTTGGTGTCGGGGCCTATCTGGGCTCTCTGAGGTTGTGTCCTTGCAGAAAGACAGAAGGAGACTCAGCTCGTGGAGCTTCAGCTGAGTCTAACGTTGTGTCCTTAGGAAAGGCACTTTACAAGAATTTCCCACTTGGCTCTGTTCTTTCAGAGATATACGTTTATGTTCGGAGGTCCCGCCTCTTAAATAACCTAATAATAGTGTTGATAGTGGCATTAAACCTATACAGTTGTTCTTTTTTTTTACACTGCCTCTCAAATAACCTAATAGTGTTGATAGGAGCGTTAAACCTATACTATTTTTCCTTTTTTTTTCACAAGGGAGAGACTCAATAGAACACACATGTAGTGCTATGGATATACAAGAGCATCCTATTCAGGCGGACTCAGAGCAGGAAGGCTGTTTTGTGATTTGTTGTATGTTTTACTACACCCACATCAGAGCAATATATAAGTCATCTGCCAGAATTCGTCTTACTGGTCTTCATAACTAGGATAATGAAATAGCTTTTGAATAGCTTATATATGCACTCTCAACAACAAGCTCAGTGTGCTTTAAGCTACAGTTGGCCTATAATATAGGCCTAACATGGGTAGCTCAAATTCCCCTGGACCGGCCTCGGTAGTTCAAGGGATATCTTACATAGATAAAGAAGAAGAGAAAAAACGGGACCGCAGGCACAGTTGGACAAATGGGTGATTTCGAGTCGTCTGTGTTCGACTTTGCTATTGTGCAGTATTATAATATGTTTGAATTTGATTGATTATCATTTATTGATAGAATATTATGTATCCAAATTTGGCGGTCGTTGATGTGGAGATGCCTTGCAAGGATAAGGCAACATTGTTCATTTTGATTTTTGATGAACATAAAAATAAACAAATGTTTGTGCACATCGGAGTGACTGTAGTTATTTATGACTGTAAGTGTCTTTAGGCCATTCCCAAGGGGGGGGGGGGGGCATTTCTCTTTCAAGCGTAGTAGAATTGTAAATGGGCTGACTCATGTCACGCTCATAACTGTGCCTGACCTACAACAGGGAACTTCTGCTTTTTCTTTCCTGATCCTTACTATTGTCATTTTCCTCTACTTCTTCTTTTGTATGTTTGTCACTCTCTTGTGACCTGCAATTTCCGGGGTACCTTGATAGTCGAAGCAGACCTTGTGCTGTTGAAGCTAGAGAGGTGAGCAGTCTAAGTCTGATTCCCTGTAAAGACTTCTCTGTTGACACCCACCCCTTGGCGCTCATATGACCTTATGCAGTTGCGAGTGCCGTAAAAGCCTCTACTATAACCCAAAAAAAATACCCTAGAACATTCAGAAACATTGCCAGTTTCCCGGGAAGCGTACAGTGTAAGCAGCTGATTAAGGGCTCAAACATTAAAATTGGTAACATATCTCGCTGTCTATAACACGCTATACCGAGAAGCTCACCTCGCCGGGTACCCATTCCCACTTTGGTGAAATGATGAACATTTGTGCTAAGTAGCGGTACTTCCTTTACTCTGCTTTTAGTCATAGTGGGAGTTGGAATTCATTTTATCCCTTATTTCTTCTATAAAAAAATTCGTTAAAAAATTTACTCCTTTGTTCTTATGCATTTGTCATTGTTACACATTGGCAAAGTACAAACATATAATAATGATAGTAAAAATAACAATAATAATAATCATCATCTTCATAATAATAATAATAATAATAATAAATATAATCATCATCATCATTATCATCAATGTAACCCTAGTACTAGTATTTTTTAGCTCATCCCTAGTATTTTGTAACTCAACCCTGATATTTTCTAGATCATCCCCAGCATTTCTAGATCATTCCCACTATTTTCTAGCTCATCACTAGTATTTTTCACCTCATCCCAAATATTTTCTAGCTAATCCCTAATATTTCTTTGTTCATCCCCAACATTTTCTAGGTCATCCCCAATATTTTTTATCTCATCCACAATATTTTCTGGCTCATCCCCAGTATTTTCTAGCTAATGCCTAATATTTTCTAGCTCGTCCACAGTATTTTCTAGCTCATCCCCAATATTTTCTACATTATCCCCAGTATTTTCTAGATAATTCCCAGTATTTTCTAGCTGATCCCCAAAATTTGCCAGTATTTTCTTCTAGCTCATTCCCAATATTTTCTGGCTCATCCCAAATATTCCCCAGTATTTTCTAGCTCGTTTCCAACACTTTCTACCTCAATCCTAATATTTTCTAGCTCAACCCTGATATTTTCTTAGATCATCCCCAGCATTGTCCAGATCATCTCCACTATTTTCTAGTTCATCCCAAGTATTTTCTAGCTCATCCCAAGTATTTTCTAGCTCAACCTTTAAATTTTCTAGCTTATCCCCACTATTTTATAGCTCAACCACAGTATTTTCTAGCTCATCACTAATATTTTTCACATCATCCCAAATATTTTCTAGCTCATCCCTAATGTTTTCTTGTTTATTCCCAATGGGGTTTTTTCCACAGTATTTTCTAGCTCATCACTAATATTTTTCACATCATCCCAAATATTTTCTAGCTCATCCCTAATGTTTTTTTGTTTATTCCCAATGTTTTTTTAAAAATCACATTCCCTATATATTTTTTTATCACATCCCCAATATTCCCCAGACTTTTTTATCTCATTCCCTATAATTTTTTTAAAATGTCATGAACAATATTTTCTAGCTCATCCCTAATATTTTCTAGCTCGCCTCCAGTGTTTTCTAGTTTATTTCCTATATTTTCTAGCTCGTCCCCAGTATTTTGGAGTTAATTCCCAACAT